AAATTAGGACATAACAATTTGAAAGTTGTCACATAAAATATTTTTTCTTTACTGTTCAATCATTGAACTTTACTATGTATCATACAAAGATCATATATATGTAGCCTTGAAAATGCTTTATTTTTTAAAAATAGGGGGGGGGGGGGGGGGTTGGTGGTTGTTTTAAAATTTCCTTCAAAACCTTAATTTCTTTTTAGTCAATGATACACTTCCCAATTCATTATCCATAACGAGACAGAATGCTTCACTGGCTTGTTACATTGGTTAGTTGAATATTTACATTTAAAATAAGGCACAAATGGCTAGTCAACCTTTTTCTTAGAACATTTTTCCCAGTACTACCAAGTTGATTCGATAACTTACTGTATGTTTGTACATACACCAGGTATCTAGTTTTATTATATGGTGGAATGGAAAATATTTTATATGTAGTTTTAACATTATCCAATATACCCAACCTATCTATAAACAAAACTGCAAGTTTATCAACAATAAGTTTTGATTATTATAATTAGATTAGAATTAGTGTACAAAAATAATTCATAGAACTTTATTAAAGTAACAAGTAGCAAGACAGTTTTACTGAAGTAGCAAAAGCTGTAGGTGATGCAAAATTTGACTTGAACTTCAAACAATCACAGGCTAGATACTGTCTCATCTTTTTAACCTTATAAAATTTAAAAGAAATGCAATATTATACTTATTTATATCCAATGTAATCAATATGACAGCAGCTAGCTTTATGATATTCCTGACTAGTTTAAAACAAAATGTATCTATTTACATTTGGCTTTTTTGTATCATCAAACCGTGCCCTTAAGTGACCTCCAACTTTTTTTTTACCTGATAAAATGATTGTTGTGTTGTCTGCCTACACTGGTATAGCAAGCACAGATTGAGAACTGCTGTTTTTACAAACACAGCTGATCCAATAAAACAAATACAACCTTGACCTTACAGCTTATGAACATGTAGATAAAGCCAAGATATATTATCAAAAAGATTAATCATTTCCCAAAACTGATTTCTAACCTAAAGAGATTTTTTTACTATAAAATGAATTATAAAGTATTCAAATCATGTCAGAATTCCCCTAGGTGTGACATAACTTATGAGTTTATCTGCAAAACATTTTACTTAGCCTAGTGCTAAATTTTAATGAAACCATTCAACATTTAAAAAAAATAAAAGATTCCTCTTTAGACCTAGCGATCCATTGGGCAGATGAACTAGAGTTCATGTTATTGACCTTGGCATATGAAGGGATAATGTCAGCACTATGCCCAGCCTCCTTTATGTAATGTGAGTTAGGTACCCATTATAGCTGGGTGGACTCAGGGATGGTCTACTGACATGAACCCTGATTCGAACTCGAGACTCTCAGGTTAAGCTCTCTACTGCTAGGCCACATGGTCCCACAACATTTACTGATTATAAAACAATGCACAGCAACTAGCATACACACCAGTGTTTATGTATTGATGTTAAATATATCAAATTGTTCTGTTTCCTGTTGTATGACATAAGCATACCTACTGTTTTAAACTACCATAAAACTGAACTGGATCCACATTGAGCACATGTAAATTGGGCTGAATCTCAAGACCCAACCTGTTGTCCTAGTGCTCTGTTTAATACCACTAAAACAAAAGTTTGGACCCATTTGGAAATTTTTGAAAAAACTGTTTAAAAAGTAATTAATTTAATTGAAACTGCTGGGCATTAAGATTAGGATGAAAGGAGATTTATTAATCTAAATTTCATTATGAATTTTAAATATCTAATCAAAATGTATTATTTTGACCATATTATCTTGGAAATTATGTTTTGTAAATATGTTAGCCATTAAATTATATGTTTCGCTGAAATATACAGTTAACAAAGTGTTAAATTTTGCACCAGAAAAAGTTTTAAAAAGTTTATAAGTGCATTGACTGTCTTTATGGAGTCTGTTTATTAGATACCGTAGAGAAAAGCATTTATTAAAGATAGCTTTAATGAATTTTATATATTTTTCACTCAGTTGCCTGGAACTGGGGATAAGTCATACCATGCTGAAATGTGTATTGTGTGTTTATTTTAAAATACAACAATTCTTTTGTTTTATTTCAACTATTCATTTTATGTTAATGTATATTTAATCATTATTAAATACATATTTATTTGCATATATATCATATACGCTGTATTGTATTTTAAGTGTGTAAAATAAAAGTTATCTCCTAGTTGTGAAGTGTTATCCTGGTTCAACTGAGAATTAGATGAAGTGTATGGGGGAAAAATTTCTTTAAACCCTTTGTTAGTTAACTCTACAACTTAAATTTTTATTCATGGTATTTAATATATAAAAGTTAAGTTTCTATTCCTTAATAAAAAATTCTCTAGATTGTATTTCATTCATTGTTTTATTCCATTTAAATATTTAAAATAAAGAACTGTATATGCATAAAAAGCTAAAACAATATTTTTATACTTATAGATTAATGTTAAAATGGTTTGTGAGTTTTACACGTTATTTCTTGGATATTACAATCATTTAAAATCAAACTTGAATATTTGTTTTTACTTTAGTTTTGTGAATGTAAATAGGTTTCTGTTTTAATTTTTTTTTAAAGAAGTGATTATACTAATACCTTTTCTTTAAATTCCTTTTTTTTAAAAATATTTTTATCTTACATGCCAAATTGTAACTATAATATTTGTTTTAAGACAATCTTTAAATGCTGACACTGTGTTTGGCGAATCAAAATCAGATGAATGTGTGTGAGAAAAATACATTAGTACCAACATATCTTTGTGGCAAAGATTGTGAAAGTGTGGGTGTGTTTATGTGTTCAGATGATTGAGTGTTAAAGGTGTGGGTGTGATCAGATGATTGTGTGTGATAAAAAAAAACAGTACCAACATATCCTTGTGGCAAAGTTGTGTGTTGTTTGTACAACATTTCTGTGAAACATGCTGACTATACTGCTGGAGGAAGCAAAACTTTTATTAACATGGGTAAATGCCCTGTTTTTCTTGTTTTTCTGCTTATTTTAAGATGATAAATTAATGCTGTATTGGCAATAAAAAATATCGGATAATCATTATTGAAATTTTATAAAAAAAAAAAAAAAAACTGCTAGAAATGAACAAAAAATTGTTTGTGTTGATTGCTTAGGACTTGATGCTTTAATATTTGTTAAATATTTTCATTATTAGACTTGGCCATCATCAGACCTCAGCAAGCATGCTGTAGGTTGTAAAAAGTTAATGGCTGAAGTGAGATAACACACAATGGCCGAAGTAAGATAATATATGAGAATATATCTAGCACATACCTTGATGAAAAAGGGCTAGTAATACAATGCTCTCCCTTTAGTTTCTCCTTAGTATCACACAGTCAGCCACTGTTTTTATACTTAGGAAAGTTTTCACTACCACCATTATTTTTAAATAGCTTTTTATTTGTCTTTTTTTTTTAAAGTTAAGAATGCTAAATAATCCAATTTTTTTAGTAAGTTTTTTAAAAACTTTGTCTTAAAATGTTTTTTGTTTAAAAAAAGGTCCTCTAACTGATCTTTCTATAAAACACTTGGAAATTCTTAGTATTGTGTGAAACTGTTCTTAATGAGTTTCCCATTTTAAATTACCTTTAATTAAAAATAGTGTAGACATTTTAGCCTATAATTGAAGCCATTTTATTTGTTGATGTTAAAACCCAATTGACTGTTTATTGTTAAAAATTTGAAAGTTAGTGTTAACATACAGAATGCAACTATATGGCACTGAGGCTAGTACCTTGTCATCTCTTGTAGAATATATGTCACTAGTTGTAATTCCATGACATCCAAGAAATGTGTGCATTTAGTTAGTGGCTGTATATTTAATGTGTTCATATAAACATGTTGTAGTTTACAAATAAACTTTTATTCATGTCTGATTTGTTTTTATTTTTTTTTTATTTTATCAAGGTGGTTGGCATAAGAAAAATGTTATGTTTCTAATAAAATGAATGTGGTAGTGTTAAAACTTCCAATTATTGAGTAATTTAGCCTCTGATAGGCATAGCTGTAATCAGTCATTTAGCCTCTAGTTAACCAGTCGTTCATTAATTCAGTAAATAGTAAGCAATAGTTCCCCTTTCAGATCCAACATTCCATAGGGCAGATGAAGTAGAGCTTATGTTTCTTGACCCTGGTATATACAGGAATGATGTGATCAGCACTATGCGCAGCCGCCTTTACTTTCACTAATGCGAGTCAGGTACCCATTAGAGCTGGGTGAACTCAGGGTCATCCTGCAGACACAAGTCTGGATTCAGATCTGAACTTGAGATTTTCGGGTTAACAGACAAGCTCACTACCACCTAACCATGTCGTCTTATCTTTAGTTCAACAAGGGTCGATTTCAGTTGTGAAAGATTGACTCCTAAAAAATTATCAATAAATTGTGATCTTACTGCAGTTAATACAAGAAATGGATAAATAAATAAAACATAGGATTCTAAAATGTAAAAACCTCAGCCTACTAATTAATGTACCCATACAATAAAACCTCTGGCTGATAGAAATGGTCGTGTAGAGCTAAATCAGTTGTTTCTAATCAGGACAATACTAAAAAGAATGTGTGAAGAAAATTAAACTTTCTCGACTATAACATTGAAATTTATTCTCAGTTTGAAGGACAATGACATACATCTGTCAATTACAGCAAAACTACATTTACTTTATGTTAATACACGGGTATATATATATATATATATATATATATATATATATATATATATATATATATATATATATATATATATATATATATATATATATATATATATATATATATATATATATATATATTATAAAAAACAATGGTATAGGCATGTAACAGTTGACTCATAATGTAGCAAGCTGTTAGAAGAGGAAGCTTGAGAAAGTATGATGTATAAAAACTGTTCATGATTTATTGAATATGTTCTTTTGATTTGCTATCAACTTAGTTATCTTCTCTTTGATTTGTAGATGATGCCTCTGCCGGCCCACCTCCGCGGATGCCGGAAGGAGTGAAACCATTATGTGGATATGTACACCCCGATGATGCTAAAAAATGGATGGTAAGCCACTAGACTGTTTGCCCTTGATGCTCAGTGTTAAATGTCTCTGATTATGGATGCTAATGACACAATTCCAGCACAGCTCGCCATGTATGTTGTTATGTAAGAAAGATTATTATTATGAGGTGATCAATTCAAGCACAGCTCGCCATGTATGTTGTTATGTAAGAAAGATTATTATTATGAGGTGATCAATTCAAGCACAGCTCGCCATATATGTTGTTATGTAAGAAAGATTATTATTATGAGGTGATCAATTCAAGCACAGCTCGCCATGTATGTTGTTATGTAAGGAAGATTATTATTATGAGGTGATCAACTCAAGCACAGCTCGCCATGTATGTTGTTATGTAAGGAAGATTATTATTATGAGGTGATCAACTCAACCACAGCTGGAGACTTGTGGAGATGCTTGGTTTGTTAAGTTGGCTGGATCAGTAAACAGAAATATGGCAAAGCATAAAAAAATGAAATATGATCATTTAAGATTCAGCAGCCACAGTTTATTTACTGAATTTAGAAAGTAAACAGGAATTCACAACTGACATGGAATGAAACAGTTTTCACCACAATAGAAATCAGCATGTCTTATAAGCTAGAATAAACAATCCTAGCTTCACTAAATCGTTCTGATTTTTTTTTCTAAAAACTGATTTCAAGAAAAAAAAGTGGTAAATTTGATACACTTTAGGTCTAGGGGATAAATTTTTATGCTAAACATTCTTTTAACTTTTTTTTATTAAATTTTAAAAAGAAAGATTGAGTTTACACAGTTCCTTCCTCTGTTTCTTAGGCATAAGTTTTCATGTAATTTAACTCCCTTATTAGCTAGTCTTTTGTACCAAAGTTAAGAAATAGCAATCTATAAGAAAGTGAAATTTTACCATTGTCTGTTATAAAAAAAAATACTGAAATTTTCAGATGTTTGAGCTGCTGTCTGGGTCGGGGGTTTTCATTCATCAAGAAAACTACAATGTGGTCATGTCAAAAACTCGACAGGACCGGCCGGACGGGAAAGCCATGGCCAGGTACCTCATGTCCTGCTTCTGGCGCCAGAGTGAGCTGGTGGGTGCCAGTATAGCAGAGCCTCCCAAGCCATACCAGCGGTCACTAGACAGGGGCATCATCCACGCTATCCTTGGTAAGTCTTTGTTTATTGGGGCAGTTAACTACATTAAATGGGGCGGCGTGGCCTAGCGGTAGAGCGCTAGGTTGCTAACTCGAAAGTCTCGGGCTTGAATCCGTGTTCAAGTCAGTAGAACATTGCTTAGTCCACCAAGCTCGGATGGGTACCTAACTCAAGTTAGGGAAAGTAAAAGCAGCTGGATATAGTGCTGGCCATACTACCCCTTCAGTTGCTGAGATCACAGAAACAAGTGAACTCTACTTCACTTACATGAAAAGTTAAATGTATAAACAAGTTAAGCTTAATTAATCTCCCTGTATATAGCTCAGGTGTCACCTAATTTTCCACTTTAAAAAATACTTCTTTAAATTTTCAAATTGAGAACTGTTGTAAAGATAAGATTTAATCCTCAAATTTATGGAAAAAATAATTGCTGTCTTGTAGAATGTTTGTAGAAATTGAACAAAGACCCACTGCACATTTTAAAAACTGAATTAAAAAGATCATCCCAATGACATCTCAGAATTAATTATGACTTAGCTTAGCCTTTTTAATCCTATACATACTAGTCTAATTGCAGGTTATTTAAAACTCTATCATTCATCAGCCTGCCTTGTGCTTTTCATGTTTTATTCTAATTTTGATTGTCTCAAAAAGTAATATTATATTTGTTATTGTTAAGTTGTTCATGACATTTGTAAAAATAAAGACTGATGTACATTGAGTGTTCATTAATTATGTTTTGATTTTGATACAATGGTTTGAATATTAATTTCTAATATGTGTTTATTTTTAGTAAACTACATTAGAGTTTCATTATTTAACTGTCCACCATCTTGAGAGTTTTGTTTTACCTTTAACTCATGTCACATGTGAGTGATGTCACACATGACTGATGTCACACTTGCAGTTACACATGAGTGTTGTTTCAATTAGTGAATTCACACATGAATGAACAGGCATCAAACATGTATGATGTCACACATGAGTGAAGTCACATATAAATAAACTCACAAAATGTCACACATGAGTGATATCACATATGAATAAACTCATGATGTCATGAATGATGTCACCGATGTATGAACTCATGATGTCACACATGCGTGATGTCACCCATTACTGAAGTCATGATGTCACCCATGAATGATCACATGATGTCATACATTAATGATGTCACACATGAATGATCTCATGATGTCACACATAAGTGATGTCATGCATGAATGATGTCACACATAAGTGATGTCACACATGAATGATCTCATGATGTCACACATAAGTGATGTCACACATGAATGATCTCATGATGTCACACATTAATGATGTCATGCATGAATGATGTCATGATGTCACACATAAGTGATTGATGTCACCCATGAATGATGTCACACATAAATGATGTCACACATGAATGATGTCATGATGTCACACATAAGTGATTGATGTCACCCATGAATGATGTCACACATTAATGATGTCACACATGAATGATCTCATGATGTCACACATAAGTGATGTCACACATGAATGATGTCATGTCACACATAAGTGATGTCACACATGAATGATGTCATGATGTCACACATAAGTGATGTCACGCATGAATGATGTCATGATGTCACACATAAGTGATGTCACACATGAATGATGTCATGATGTCACACATAAGTGATGTCACCCATGATTGATCTCATGATGTCACGCATGAATGATGTCACCAAATGTATGATCTCATGATGTCACACATGCGTGATGTCATCCATGACTGAAGTCATGATGTCACACATAAGTGATGTCACACATGAATGATGTCATGATGTCACACATTAATGATGTCATGCATGAATGATCTTATGATGTCACACATAAGTGATGTCACGCATGAATGATGTCATGTCACACATAAGTGATGTCACCCATGAATGAGGCGTCCACAGGACTCCACCACCAATGTGTTGATTTTGTTTTTCTGTCAGCCTTCTGCAGCGACCTCTCGTCCGAGCGAGTCACAGTTTTACGTCAGGCTATGTGGAAAAGAATTGGAAGTCTTTCTCACTGCCAGAAAATCAAGGATTTGAGGAAGATGTGGCGAGCAGGGATCATGTTTTGATGCTGTCTAGTGTTACCCTCCCTTCCTCCTGCCTAGTGACATTATCTACCTTTTCATTTGTTACCAGCATTGTGTCCCCTCACATGATTAAGCCAAAGATCCCAGAGACTGGTGATGAATTGACGTATTTTAAAAAAAAAATATTGATCAGTTTTAAGCATTTTATTATATTTATTTTTGTGAATGTAAAATCTTCCTTTTAAACAAAAACAATTTTTTTTCAAATTAAAATATTATTGTGATCATTTTTCTAATAACGATGGTGAACTAATGCCATTTTATAAAACAAAATTTCATCAGCTAATGAAAACTTAGTTTAAGTTTATGTTGTATGAGGTTTTTTTATGTAAAGTTGGTTACTTAATTTATGAATCTCTCATTCACCCACTTGACTGTCTGTGGGAAATTTGATTGGACACTGACAAAGGTGCTTTAAGTTAAATAAAAAAATCAAGAAAGAAAATGGAACTAATTCATTTTGGGAGGGATGGTCAAGGGATAGACAGCATAACTGCTCACCCTGAATTCTGGAGTTTAGTTTTTATTTCTAGATTTATAGGACATCACAGAGTTGACCTAATTCTAATGGGTACCTGACTTATGCAGAAGGGTTGAGTGGGAGGAGGGGTATAGTAAGTAGAAAACAATTAAATAATGAATCTGCTGAATCTCATAAGTTCCAGAAAGGGTGCTATTTCCAAGTAACTGAATATCTGAATAAAAATCAGTAAATCACTGTTTTGAAATGTATGTCGTGTTTTTTTAATAAATCAAATGTCCACCTGTTCCATTCCTTCCACACATTTAAAAAAAAAATTACTGCTTTTAGTCAAGTTGAATCTCAGGAATATATTTATTTTAATATTATAAATATCTTCATTTTTTTTTATTTTCTTATGTTTCTGATAATGTACATACAGCTTTTATATTTGACATTGTAAAAATGTAATTTGAAAAGTTTTGTTTTTAATAGTTGTGCTGTAGTTTGAGCTGCAAGCACCAGTATTTGGGCCTAGTTTTTTATAAAAATCATCTCAGAGACAGCTCATAAGTTGTAGCAGCTAAAAATTCCTGATCTTCTCTGTTAGCCATGGAAGAACCCGGATCCCAACTCGAGACTTTCGGGTTAGCAGTCTAGCACTGTACCGCTCAGCCACGCCATCCCTATATAAGTTGTAGCAAAACTCCTGATCCAAATTTCCCATTCCCAGGGTGCTGCTGTGAGTGGAGTGACAACACCAAGGCAGATATTCGCCAGGCCATCTGGAGCAAGATCACTTTTGCAAACACTTACAGAAAACAGCAGCTCATCATGAGAGGGGGGATTTCTTATTAGATTCAATTTGCCATAAATGGCTTTTCAGGGCTATTTCACCAAAAAAATGGACAGATATATAAAAAAAATGTATCAGGTTAAAGCTGAATTTTTGTTATGATCTCATCAAATTTTTTAGTTGAACTGAAGTTTAAAAAAAAAACAAATTCATTTTTATAATTTGTTTTTTTAAAACATTGTTACAAGTTTAGTGTTTTAGTTTACATTCCATCTACTTTAAAACAGTCTATTTATTTTAAATTGACAGAAAAAAAAATAACCGCTCTGTATTATTTTACAAACATAAAAAAAAATTTAAAAGTAAAGATGTTAATCCACTGCCAAAAAACAATTTATTGAAATTTATTTTCAAACAATTTATTTTCATTAAAACTTTTTTTTTTTTAAACTATGTTCCAATTTTTTAGCCTTAACTAGGTATTTAAAGTTTATATCTCCATCAGTTTTGTTGCATAAATCAAAATAAATTATCTTTGAACAGTAGGTATTAAATAGACTGTTTCAGAGAACTGTTTTTGGTGGTTGCACAATTGTTAAAAAAAGGAAAGAGAAGTGGTGTACTTATTGATGTAAATTATAAAATTCCTGGTTTAAATTGTAAATTTACACCAGCAATTTTAATAAGTTTAATATAATTTTGTTTTTGCTATTTAAACAACAAAATATTCATCTGCATCACCATATCAAAGTAAACTCCTGATAAATTATTAAATCAATGACTTTTTAACAAGTACAGACTGCTTATAATTGTAATTAATTAGACTGCCTATAATTGTAATTAATTGTATGTATCCTGTTTGCCTGGTTAAAAAGGGTAATTTTGTTCTGCAATATGAGCTTTTGGTCTTTTGTTGATTACTAATTTGTTTTAAGCTTTATTTGACTTAGGCATCCAGTATCACATTTTTAAAAGATGCCATGTTTCTGAGCTGTTGTTTTATTTGACTATTTTATTAGTTGAGCATCATGACTGTTATTTCATTTGGTACTCTTTGCTTAACAAAATATGAATAAATTTTGTTCACAAGATTTGCATTATTGCTCTTTTGTTATTATTTTGTTTTTCAACATGTTTAAGTGTCAAAAACTTACATTTTAATATACTTTATTTTAAATAGCTGAAAATCTCACTGCTTTGTTTTCTGCACCCTTGTAAGTGACAATGCTTTGCTCATTCATAAACTCATTTGCTTCATTGCTGATTTAACCTGCTGATTACCCCTCATCATCCAGCTCGTTATCATGACCATTACCTGCCCTTCTGACCCACCTCATAGCTTAACGCCTGCTTGATATCACATGGACTCAAGGTGGACTCAATTCTCTTTCTCCTTTCAGAATTTTGCCAGCACCATTCCCGCGAGCTTGCCACAGACATCCGTAGGACTATTCAACAAAAAATTGGCTATGCCAAATTTTACTTTGTAAAGAAAACCCAGGATCCGGATACTCCCAAAACAACGCCAGCATCCATTTCTGTTGAGGCTTCACCTAGAAGGATGTCCATGGAAATGGCTCGCAGAGGTCTGGGTGGATTGCCTTTAGACATCCCCACTAAGATTCAGTCTGGCAGAAGAAGCAGAAGATCAAGTGAAAGTCTTTCAAGAGGTTTACCTGAATCAGAGGAATTCCCTATTAGACTGAACCCAAGGGGAACTCCTGACATAAACAGTAGGGTGTATGTTGAGATGCCCAGTGACATTTCCAACCGTCTGAGTGATGAAGCCATGTCCAGCAGGCTGACCTCCATTGATATGTTGACAGACAGACTCGGCACAGACATGTCAGGCAGGCTATCAGCCGGGGATCCAGCTCGGCGAGTCTCCGTGGATCTAACAAGCAGACCTGACGACTTCACAGGCCGCATGCCTAGCAATTTGACCGGCAGGATATTATCCGACTCAGCCAGCCATCTCCCTGATGATCTCTCCACCAGATCTGCCAGTAATCTCCCTTCAAGATCAACTGACATCTCCTCCAGTCGTTTGCCCTCTGAAATACCAGGCCGATCACATGGCAATCCGTTGGATAGCTTGTCCGGTAGAAACACAGATAACTTAAATGAACTAACTGGTCGATTGGGTCCCATGCCTTCTGGAATGTCCAGGGGTTTTCTGGACATGCTCAATAACATTTATCCAAATAACTGAGACAACAGGTCCAGCTTCTAATTCAGGCTAGATGTTATATGGACCACGAATGTCGTAATACAGTTATATTTCCTGTGACTTGCAATGTTTCTGACAAAAACAAATTGCATAAGTCAATGACGTGTAATTTTAATATACAGAGATTGTATATACTGGGCTTAATAATTACTATTGTCATTGTGACACACTTTATTTCAAGCTTAGCTTTCAGTTTTTAGTTTCTACTGCTGTGATCAATATGTGAAGTCCCAAGATCTGTGATTTCTGCAGAAACACCAGTAACTGTTATCTAGTCATGAATTTTTATTTTTTTTATCTGACTTTATTTACTGTTTTCCCAAATTAACTCACTGAATTTATTCATATCACATTTTTATTATTGTTCAAGTTTTTCTAGAACACCAAGGTAGTATAATCTTGTTCAGTTTTTAGAATTTATTTAACAAAAGGTGTTTTCTTAAAATGTTTAAGTTTTAAAATGGATATATTACAAATTAAATTTAAAGCTGAAATATAAATCAAAGCAAAATGCTGGGTAAAATTTTTATATTTTTAATTTGTCAACAAAAGAAAATTTAAAAAATTAAAGCAATAGCAAATTGAATAAAGAAAACAAGAAAGTCGTCTGCCCCTTGTATTTAATCCAAGGATGTAAGTACCTTTTTAATACATGTGCTGTATTTTACAAGTCCTGTTAAGTGACAGTACAAAATAATTGTTTTTTTTATACTTACAGTTGTAGCCTAACCTTACTCTGTCAGTGCTAAGCTGCTTTTTGCTGCTCCCTGTCATCCAAGCTGATCTTTTCTTCCCATCTTTGCCTTCATGTCCAGCCTAAAAATACTGTAGTGAACCTTGTTGATTTATTCAGTTTGTCTCTTAGCATTTTGCAGTATCATCAGATGCACCTCTCCCTGGCTGTTAATTTCTTTATACAAATACAAACAGTATTACCTGTGTCTAAAAAAACATCACTACTGTCTTAATTAATTGTTGGCTAACTGAGTGGTAGGCCTTTCCAGTACCACAGATAATTATTCTTACTGAATACAGTCATTGGCATTAGTTTTCATCAAACTACAACTTTTATTATAATGTGGTGCCTAATTAGGTCTATCTTTTAAAAGTTTATAATATACATTGTCTTTCATTTGCTATGCATATGTTGCTTAATGAGTCATTGATGTATTTATTTGAAAGGTTGGTATTAAAAAAAAAGTCCATTAAGGATTTTATTTAAAGTAAGAAGTTGTAGGCTCCTTACAAATCTTACTTGATAGAAGACCTACTCAATTAGTCAAATATGTAATGTATACTCATTTGTCTTTCATCAAATGTTTTAGGAACACTAGGTGTGATAAAATACTCTACACATACTAGATTATGTTATATCTATGCTGTATTGGTTTTTAATACTTCATTTCAACTATTCATGCTCAGTGATGTTATATTTTCTTGTTGCTATTTTTCTTATGGAACTGTCCACCTAGAGCTTTCCTGTGTATGGTTATTTCCCTTTTGACTTTATTCAGCTTTCTTTGAAATTTCTCAAGGCTTTTAACTAAATAAATTATGAACTAACCAAATGTCATATCTCTATTATTTTATAGTCTACCGAGGGCTTTGTGTAGGTTATTTTCTTTATTTCAAATATATCGACTACTTTGTTTACTGAGCTGGTTTAGCATATCACAGCGGCCATCATTAAATGGGTCTTTTATTAAGTTATTTTTAACTTTTTAATTGTTAATTAAATGATTAGTCCAATATCAGAGGGTATTTACATTTTAATGTGTCAGAAAATCAGTTAATTATTTATTAATTTTTATCATTGCACATTTGTTAAATTGTGACTAGCCCAAGAAAGAATTACTATTACTTCTGGCCATGTACAGATCCATACACAATTTCTTAAATGTAAATGTACGTTATGATTATCATCAAATGTCCTATCACTGCTAGCGTCAAGATTTTTTTTGTTCCCAGTGCATGTCAAAATTGCTACTTTAAGCTATATATCTGTATATTATGATTTTTAGTATATTATGATTTTTAGTTCTAACATTTATGATAAACAACCTGCACCTACAGGAAAAAAAAAGTTCAGAAAAATGTGCTAAATTGGATATTAATGCAACACAACCTGTATCTAGCTGATGAAAATGCTGTTTTTTTATTTGCTTGAATAAACACTGGTGCTGAGTGTGCATACTTAAGAAATGATTTGAGAAATAATTTTTTTTTTTAACTTAAAACACCAAACTAATACAGATATTAAAGGGTGTAACCAACTGGGCAAGTGTGGAAAACTATTACATTTTATTTAACTTAAACACGCGTAAGGGCGCTTTAAGGGTTATCACTGTTATGTAAGAGCAAAGCCACAATTTATCAATAAAAATTTTCCCCCAATCAACTCTGTTGCAACTTCAGCATTAAAATTCTTTTCATTTTATTCCAGTAGCATTTCGTAAAGGTGAAATTTGTGGTTAGAGATTCTGCACAAAAAATTTAGGCTGAACATTTTATTTTAAGAGCATTCTGTTTAACTGCTATTTTTTAATATAGTAATTATGTTAATAAATAGAGACCATTAGATATTAAAATGTTTGGTCACTAACTTTATTTGCATCAACAACAAGAACATTTAAAAAAAACATGGAGTATATACTTAATGCTTCAAATGATATTGATTAATGTGATTATTTAAAAATAATTTGAAATGATGAAAGTATGATCATATACCACTCAGTCTATGATTGGCAGATACCCATTCAACATCTCTGAACATCTATTCTTTCATTTTAAAAATTTAGAGCAAGCATTTCTGATCTCAGATAAGTAAATAAAATAACCAAATAACTACCTTGGATACCACAAAACATAATTTTTAAAAATTATTTGAACATATATTTCAGAGCAGAAGTTTAAAAATTTTCAAGAAAACATACTAAATGCAAAAATGTACACCAAACATGCTCATAAAAAATTTTTTACCGAAATTTTTTTTTTATTTCCTAAATAAATAGAAAGTAATTCTCCAAGTTGTACAGATTGTTTTAAAATTGTAATTATCAAAGCTCTTTTAGGCTGAAATATCAATGATAAACTATTTAAAAAAAAAAAAGGAACTAAAAAAAAATAGTTGTTAAATAATTGGAAAAGTATCTCAGTGGACATATGCTAGTCCCAACATTGTATTGGTAATGGATTCTGTAGTTGTTTACAAAACAGGATTTATACCAATTATGGATTAACTTCCAAGATACAGAATTTTTGAAAATAGTATGAAATCATAACTTATGTATTATGAATGAAGAGATGTAATTCATCATTGAACACCCAAGCAGCTCTCACATAACATCCATGAGATATACTGCTAAGCATGATATGAAAAAGGTTGTTACATTTACATCATTCAAACAGGGATTAATTCTTTAAAGGACAATACATTTCAATAATAATGAAGTTACTTTTCAAACTCACATCAGCAGAGGGCATTTAAGACAAAGTTGAACTGAATGATCTATAGAACATTACCATCAACATGATTTCCAAGTACGAAAGTAAAAACATCATCATGGAAACATTTCTATTGGTTAGATTTACACTCATAAATTTTGATTGACAATATTATTAATAATTATCATTATTTTTACAAAATGGTCCTTATTTTATAAAATAAAAGTTCCTTAATTACTTACTACAAGGAATTTGTAAGGAGTTGTACTAAAACTTTGTTCTACTACTTTCTATTAAAATAATAGTAAAGCAAATCTGGTCAAATGATCTAATTGATTCAGTAGGCTACGGATTACGATTCCTCGTCTAGCTCACAGAAAAACAAAATAAGTGAATTCCCTTTTAACATGATTTAGCAGAATCTACTTTAAGATTATTTTTTTTAAGGGAAGTAAAGTAAAAAAAAAAGAATATTGGTGTATCAAAACAAAAAACTTGCCTAATGAAACTCATAATAAGAACACAAACTAGACTGCTTGTTAAATTACTACAAACAGATGAATACATTAGTTATTCTCAATAAATCTCTTCAAATTATCATCTATTAGATATCATCTTCATCATCAGGATCAATCTCTATTAACTCAAAATCATTTGCTTTCATAAATGGATATGGTGTTACTTCAACTTTAATATCAGGTGGACTTTGCTGAGCTCCACCACCACCTCCTGTTTCATTCGGCTGCCCCCCATCACCACTTTGTGGCTGCTGCTCTCCATGTGTGTCTAATCCTTGTTGGCCTCCTCCATTTCCAAAAGCCCCATGAAAACCAGGTTGAGCTTGACTAAGATCTCCAATTGAATGTTGTGTGTCTCTGCTATCATCTGATGCTAACTGTTGATAATCATAGCTCTCATCTCCAGCACCTTGTAGAAAACTGTCTCCTGTAATGGCAAGTGTACACAAGATAAATGCATACAGTAACCAGTACAACTATCCTAATGTAACCAGCCAGAAGAAAGATAAGACATACCTTCAGAACCTGCTGATGACATTCTTCGTTCCATTCCAGCATGTCCTTGCATACCACCATAGCCAGTAGGATAAGGATATGCTTGTGGACCACCATGGAAAGACTGACGGCCAAACGGTTGTCCTCTAGGTCCTTGTCCAGGTGATTTAAACTGACCTAAATAAAATAAAATAAATTTGATAGGTAAAAATTATGGACCCAAATTTTTATTTCCCAGTTATTCAATTACTGTAGTATAGTGGGTTTTGTGAAGGTAAACAGTCTCAAACATATCCAACCTCTTTTTCCTATGTTGTAAATTTTAAAGGTTACCACATTTTCAAAAATATCCTACCACCTACGGTTCCAATTTTTAAGGTTGAGATGTATACAACCACCTTTCCCAAGGTTGGTGATTTTCAAGGCTGGTAGATTTACAAGGTAACCATAGTTTCTAACATAACCAACCACCTTTCCAAAGGCTGGTAGACTTACAAGGTAACCATAGTTTCAAACATAACCAACCACCTTTCCAAAGGCTGGTAGATTTACAAGGTAACCATAGTTTCAAACATAACCAACCACCTTTCCAAAGGCTGGTAGATTTACAAGGTAACCATAGTTTCAAACATAACCAACCACCTTTCCAAAGGCTGGTAGATTTAGAAGGTAACCATTGTCCCAGATATATCAGGCCATCTTTCCCTATGTTGGCAGACTTGGTAAGAAAGAAATGCAGCCATCTTTTGGCTCATTATTCTCAAGATCTGCTATTGCAAACTGAGTAGCAACAGTAGCTTGTTAAGTTAGTACATACTCTAAACAAATCTATCCAACCTATTACTACAATACAATAACTGTTTTATTCAGTTATTGATGGCACTCAGTATAAGTTGTTTATTTAGTGCCATGTGGGAAGAATAATACACATGAAGTATCTTATTTAATGAGTACATGTACAAAAAAAAAAAAACAACCAAATAAATAAAAACACAAGTACATTATTTAGAATAAGTAAAAAAAAAAAAATGTAGATATAATTTATAAAAGTAAACACTTTTACCAAGCATTATTTTACCTTGACTATTCTGTGTGCTCAGAAAATACAAATTATCAGAGTTCTAAGATTTTTTTAAAAAGTTAAACTGTATACAATTTGTATTCTTTTTTGGGATCATTTTATATTAGAAGTTGCAATGTTTAAAGAAAAGTTGAGCTTGTTGGTACAAGAGAGAACGTCCAAAATGTGTAAAGAAGTAACTCCAACAGCGAGCAAATTGACACATAAATAATAGTGCAATATTGTTCATCACTTACAAGTTTTGTCGGCTTGGCTGCCTTTTTTCCTCTGTGCAGCCAACCTTGCCAATGAATTAGTATAGAAAACCATTTGAGCTCTGACAACATCCCCTCTCAAAAGTGGAATTCTTTTTACTAACTGTTTATAATACACAGATTTTGTACAAACTAAAGAAGTATGAGCTAAAAGCCCTTACAAATTTGGTGGTGTGCTTATGACAAATAATCCCTTTTATCCTACATAGTGAAAATAAAGGGGACACGGTTTACCTGCCCTTCTTGCATTTGTTCTGATCCATGATACTCTTCGAGAAGAGCGAGCTCTAAAGATTTCAGCAACACGATCATAATCATAACGAAGAATTGGTATATGCAAAAACAGCTGTCAAACAGTGAACATAATATTGAAACAAGAAACCAGAAATTCAACCGCCCTTGATTTTTTTAAGCACTGGGATGAACATCCCCTTCCAATCAAAATGAAATTGTTATGGAAGTAAAAAATACTAGATCTATATTGTTTGACAGGAATATAACTTTTACTGTGTAAGCGTGTTTTTTTTTAAATTATTGAAAAAAAAAGATGCTTCTTGTTTTAAGGCTTCCCAAAACACTGAATCCTACCTGTCGTTTTTAATCGATGTCTGTATCTCCAATTTTTGGATCTCAGGCTCATTATCCATGAAGTGTATTCTAAATTATACCCCAAAAGTGGTATTCTATTCACAAGCTTTTATAGTAGGAATAATATTGGTTTATTTTTAAGATGAGAATAACAATTTCTTTACATTACTTTTGAATGAAAGAGCCCTTTGAAGCAAAGCAACTATTTCTGATCCAAAAAATATCAATGTGAGAAACATACTGAGAATGATATTTGAGCCAACTTTTGAAGAAACATATTTAAACTTACAAAAATTGTCTATTCTTGCATTTGTTCTTTTCCGGGAAATTCTTCTGGCAGACCTAGCTCTGAAAATCTCAGCTACAGATTCTATGTTGTACCGAAGCATTGGCAACCGTCGAAATAGCTGATTAAATATTATTAGACGTAATAACAGAATAATAAGAGAATTATGCCCAATGCATGATGCTGCAGTAGATATAGAATTCTGAGAAAACTTGGAAAAACTTAACAGTGAACTGTAGCAAGAAACGAAGGCAAAAATATGCATACGATGCTTCCCACCAAGTAATTGTGGTCTCAGACAAAAACCGCCATTCTATCTACATGCATAGCTAAATAAAACCTACCTTTAACCTTTAAACGGCTTTTGTACCTTCTTTCATTTGCTCTTTGACTCATTACCAAGATAGTACGCTCTTTTTTAAACCTCAAAAGAGGTAGACGTACAAACAACTGTTCAAAAAAATAATAATGAATACACCTTTAAAAAATAAAGAATAAGAGCCATTTTGTCACTTTTGGTGTCTTGTAGAAGTTCGAGCAAATGAAATGGTCTAATGAAGCAATCTCCCTCACAAATCCAGAAAAACTATTTAATAACTTTTCTTACAAATCTAAATTGAAAGCACAATTAGGTAGCATCTTGATAGCTTAATGTTTTACCTTGATTTCGAATGCGTTCTCTATATCTCCTTTCTTTAGCTCTGTGATTCATGATAACAGAAGCACGTCTTCTATCAAATCTCAACAGTGGGACACGATTTATTAACTGCATTACAAACCAACAATCAGAACAGTTGCTAATCATGATGAGCCCTTTTGATACTGCTTTATTCTGGCTTCAACAGAATGCTTACCTTTTTTTTTAACCCCTTCCCAATATCTCCTTCCTTTAGCTCTTTGATTCATGACTGCAGCTGTTAACTCCATATTATACCACAACAATGGAAGTCTACGAACCAACTACATTAATTTGAGAGACTTTAGTATAAAAAAGTTTAAGAAAAAGCCCAATTATCCTTGATGAAGTAGTGCAAAAAGTGTTTCATTTTAAGAAATTAGACAACTAAACCTCTTATTCTTGTAAATCAATTTCTTTTAAAATGTATTTTTAAAATTTTGAATATGACTGTCTCCTAGGAGGTAGAAAACTGGTATTAAAAAATCACAAGATACCATTGGACTAGAAGAACCGAATTTGTTTCAATATTGAGTGCAGAGTACAATGAAAATCAACGGAAGAAAAACATGGATTAAAGGCAACATGTAACCATATTCCTCATTTTACAATTTCTGTGGGCAGTGGTCTAAGTAAAATTGATAACGTCATCAAGAATGTTGATTTTGAAAGGGCTCACCTTTCATACGATGGGACTTCATATTTTTTCTGTCTTGGGCATTTTTCACTAAATAGTTTCTTGCAATACCAATATTGGTATACTTGAGTAGTGGCATTCTAAAGAGCAACTGTTAAGTAGGGACAAATAGGTGTTCTTTCAATGTCAACTTCACATTTTTGACACATTAACACCAGAAAGAAACTTCAGATCAATTGTATAAAGCATGCAAACTAAAGGGTACATGACTGTGGGATCTGTGGTCAAGTGATAGTTGAACAGAATTGAAAAAATAATTCTTTTAAGTACTTTTTGGTTGTTTTTTTCTCCCATAATTAAAAATCAGATTTAGAAAAAAACTGCAGAGAGAATTAAAAAAAAGACTGAAAGAATCAGCCAACAATGCAAACTAAGAGCCTCCTACCTTTGAGGAATCTTCTAGTAGCATCATACTTTCTGTCATGTCCCCTTCGCATTAAAGAATCAATTACCCAAGGTTTGTTGTAAGCCAATAAAGGCATGCGACGTACAAGCTGTTTAACAATGGCCAAAACAGTTTACATCTTGAAGTATGGTTTATACAGGGACGCCATGGTGAAATATTTCATTTACTCCCCTTTAGTAACCAAAACAGAGCTTAAGTACTTTTAGTAAGAAAAAATAATACTAGTTGCTTTATTCAAACTAAAAAATCACTTTGTTTTGTTAGTTAAGATGAAAACATCTTCACTCAAAGAGCCATAATTTTTAACTTACCTTGTAGAACATTATTCCTAAAATACTACTTGTTCACTAAACATAATAGTGGTATTTATTTATTGTTAGAAAAAAATGTACTTTCACATGTGCTGGTGCATAATTTTTTGTTGAACTGATAACCTAAATCAAAAACTTACAAACCTTGAAAAAGTGACCTCCGTTTTATATGAGCTTTACGATCTTTAGCATTTTTTGCCAAATACTGACACAAAAGAAACATATTGTTGCTCAATACTGGTAACCTAAATATAATCTGCCAGAGAGAATACTGATTTGATACTATATTTTATTTTTTTCAAAAGATTTAAAATGATTGATATGCTTGGTGAAACAAGTCAAATTGTTTAAAACAAGATAATCTGTGCTAAGACTAAGAGGTTTCATTTTATACTACCAAAAGAGCAATACTTCAACTATAAACCAGAAAGATTTCAATTCCTCAGTAAAAACTAGAGGAAAATCAAGATATGAGACAGGTTGGAAAATTCCATCAAAGTTTATTGAAATTTGTAATAATTGTTTTAGACTACTGATTCTAGTTCATTTTAAAATTTCATCAATCTCTGCTCATTATACTTAAGATACCAGTTTGTATCTTTGTTTTAAAAAATATTAATAGCCCCCTCCTAGTGTATTGTACACCATGTTCTGCTACATCAAAGACACTTATCTAGCTAAATATTGACAGAAACAAAATCATAAGTAATGCAAAATAGGGCTTTAATTTAGCTATTATGCCACTGATTAACCTACCTCGCCCAAAATGGGAAAACGCAGCATTTTTACTTCGAACCAAATTAGCTCTTCTGTCATGAACAGTTTTATTTAAATAATACCCAGTTCTTTTAACATCGAACTTCAACACAGGTAGTCGTATGAAGAGCTGCAAACATTGGGTTATTCCTTAATTGTTACTAGCTATTAACCTTTCATGGAGAAACAAAAAGTTGCATGGATGTGGATACTTTTTAAAAGTTTTCTCAACAGGTCTCAAAACATTAGAAAATGACAAAAACAACTTTATGCCTAACCTTTTTGCTTCCGATTGTACATATTCCTCCATGTGGCCCTTGCCAAAAATATTTGACAAAAGTAACTACGATTGAACCTCAATATTGGCATGCGGTTAAAAAGCTGTTCAGAATTGAGATGTTTAAGTTAACAATTATGTCTTCCCTTTGACATAAAAATCTGCACAAAAATAAAGAGCATCCCTTCTCACATGGTGCAGAAAACACAAAAAAGAATAGCTCATCCCATTGCAGTTACATCCTATCCTACCTTTAGCCCCTATTTTCTTGCGTTGACGATAATGAATTTCTGCAGAACGTGCTCTAAACATAAGGCTCACTCTTTTATCATCAAAAGAAAGCAAAGGCAGACGATGAAATAGCTGTCAATAGCAAAAATGATCACTTATTCCAATGCTTATCAAATTGATTGATGGATGGATGGATGCAGAGCCCCTTTGGTACAGATAGAAACTATTCAGAAACCAATTTCAGTTTAGCAAGAAAACTTTTTAAATGTATAATAAAAACATCTTTTCAAGAATGAAAAGAAACAAAAAGCCTTGAACGGTAATGTACTCACCTTGTCGTTTTTTAGTTTCATATCGCCGAGATGTGGCATTGTAAGACAAGAGATGGGAGGCCTGAGGGACATTATACCTCAATAGAGGCATCCTTTTAAAAAGCTACAAATGAAAGGGTAGTGTGTAAAAAGAAAAAATAGAAAAGAAAGTAAAATTGGTAAATTAGAAAAATTTACCGAATAAAAACCACCCTGTTGATTTATGTGCTGATTTGAAGCCAAAGAGAAAAACGTTTCAGTCAGGATAGAAGGACTAAACTGTTACTGCAGGACAAATCGAGTTGTCACACACAGACCACAACTTACCTAATTTACGACATCTTCTAGCTTCGTAACGAATCTCTGCACACCGACTGCAAAAAGTGGTCTTGAGACGTGACAAGTTAAACCGTAGAATAGGTATTTTCAACAACAGCTGGATTTGACACAAGATAGCAGCTAATAAGAAAAGCTTAGATACAACCTTGAGCTGCTTATCATTTACTGCTGTGGTTAACCATGTAAACTTGATTTCTCACTTAGATAAAATAGATAATATTCTGTTCGGATATAAAAAGTATGTCCCTTTAGATTGAAATATTACTACCTCTTTGATACAAATAGATATCCTAAGCCATACTGTTTTATAAATAACCTTTTTTTCTAGAACAACTGTGTGCTGTCATCAGTTATAAAATGGGTTATGTAGGAATAAGCCTACAGACGAATACTAATACTGTCTTAACGACTCAGAACTAAAAATCAAGTTAATATGCACTACCACTAAAACACTATAGTACAGAAGCCACATTTAAAACTATGTACCCACTACACAGAGGAAGTAGATTTCAACAATTTTAATTGACTGACTGCTAAATGCTTTCAATGCATAAATAAAAAATCTAATTTGTAAGCATGATGGCAATGATACAATGAAAATATTCTTTTCCTACTAAAGTACAGATTATTATATCCATCTACAAGATAAAAATGTATCATGGCAAGAAATGTTGCATCTTAGAAAAACTTATAAAATGTCCTTACAAAATTGACTGCAATCCATATTTGAATAACCTACCAGGTGCATGTCTTTTAGCACGAATATTGACTACTTTCCTAGCCTGCCTATCCTGATACCTGAATTCAGCAGCTCTAGCACAAAAGTAAGTTTCTAATTGGGGATGAGCCTGAACTATTGGTAATCGAGAAATCAGCTGTTGAACAAAAAATCTTTTTAAAACTTAGCCCATGAATTAGATATTTCACCTAACCAGATAAAGAGCCACATAAACTGACAATAGGTTTTATAAAATCAATCCCCTTTGTACACATTTTCATTCACCTTTGATTCTACTGCGCAAGTCAAATAGACGCTTTTGTGTTCGTGCCACAAAAATACAACATACTCGACTCAAGTCAAATGCTAGAAGAGGAAGACGGTTTATCAACTGTAGAAATAAAATTGTAAACTTATCAACTGCAGATATACATCTGCCAAAATCTAACTTATTTAAAAGAAACTACTTTTTATTTAAATGCTGTGTTGATAGCAACAAACTTTTAAAATAAAGCAAATCATTATTTCAATTATCTTATGAGCACCCCGGGATGAAAGTTAAGTCAGAAAAACTACCAAATAGGAATTTTTGAAGCAGCTAAGCAATAATGACCACAGGCTGCACTGAAAACTAACCTTTGTTGAAACCACTGTACACAGATCTGCGTTTTTGAGTTGACCTTCTGACCTTAACTGTTTGCATAAACAATAATTCCAATCGTCTTGTATTGTAAGACAGAAAAGGCAGTCGCAATAACAGCTATAGTGAACAAGGCATATATGAAATAATTGTCCCAGCAATCTAGACAATTAAAAAAAAAGTGCTGTGGTCATAACTAAGTTCAGATGAAACCACTGACCTTTACGTTTATAAAAAGACCTCCTGACTCTCACAGTTTGCATAAAATGCAATTCCAAACGACGTAAACTACACCGTAGAAGAGGGAGCCTTAACACAAGCTGCCAGACAAATTTTTAAGACCAAGTTTTAAAGAAGCCAATAAATCAATGCTGTGGTGAAAGAAAAAAGAACCATCTGAGCAGTTTTGGAGAGCAAACAATATGACAGAACTTCCTGTCAAGAATAAATACTAAACTGTTTGAAATGAACAGCAAAATATATTTAAAGTCCTAACAATGGTGGAAATAGTTGTAAATGCAAGTAAGAAGGTTACACTTCAGAACAAGAAACATGTAATTCAGCCAAAAACTTTGCAATGAGATTAATTCCTCAGAAAATCCTGGGAAAAATAGCACAACAAACAGTGGCTAAATAAATGGTGGCTATAAAGACATGCCTAAAAGGATGGCTAGAAAAAAAAATGTTGTACTTCTCAAATTATTCCATGTTTTTTGTGTAAACCCAATTAGCTTATGCAACGTAGAGGTTACAAGTAGAAAATGCATCATCAGCAAGACAAAAGTCATAACTTACCCTGTTTTCTGGCCCAATTTCTTTTAAAGCTGGTGTCACAGAAGTTAAATATTGTCCTTTTTTTATTATATAATAATATTGGCATACGTTGAAACAACTGTTGAATTTACAACATTTCGTATTATGTTAGAAAGTAAAAGTATTTTTAAAACAGTGCTGTAGTGAAATACTGGTGAATCATTGCAGATGCATTAAAATCTGATTAAAGCTTTTGTGAATTTGCTTTATAAGGTAATAGAAAAGTACCTCAAGGAAAAGGAAATACCATTTTCACTTAATTAAACTACAGTGCACAAAAAACAATTGCCATGATACAATTGTTTAATGACAATGGCAATTTTACCATGCTTTTTATTACGCCACCGTCTTTTATTAGTAGTGTTACTGAAGGTCACTCCAACACGATACAAGTCAAACTGAAGTAGTGGCATTCGTTTAAAAAGCTGTGGATAATGAAAATTCCCTATAGAATGCATCCACAGGATTATCTTTGATACCATTAGCTGTGGTGAACAAAAATGCCAACACACCTTTAAGAGGAATTTTAAAAAAACACGAGATCAAGAAAGATAAGAACAATATGATGGCTGTTCACAGCTTTATATCTATTAACATTTTTTTACAGTATTTCAGATGGATTTAATAATAAACTTAATTGAAAAACAAAACATGAGCAGTAAACACTGTTCATCCTAAATTATTTTACTAATTTATCCATTCACCTACGCAATGTTTGTTCTTGAAGGAGTAGCATTGTAAAACTATTATGGCTTCCCTAAGTCCTAAAATGCACCTTCAAATAAGTATAACTTCAAAATCTAGACACATGTCAAACAAGCATAACTATACATCAGGCAGGACTGACTAACTTACAAAAATTATGTTGATACCATCTTCTTTTTTTAGCAGTATCAGCCAAATAATTTTCAACTTTTTTAAGGTGGAAACTCAAAAAAGGCATTCGGAAAAGGAGCTGAGATGAGAATAAATGTAAAATTATACAAAATGAATGACACAATTAACTGGTGCCATGGTGAATTTAGGTCCCATTCAAACAACTGTTCAAGTTAACTTACAGTTCATTTTGTCTTTAAACTTGTAATTTCTAAGATGCCATCGCCATTTTTTGACGTAATCAGCAAAATAATTAGACATCCTAAATTCAGAACCTTTCATAAGAATCATTCGATGACGTAACTGTCAAAATACATGATTTTTGCATTATATCATGTATGAGAAAAAATTAAATTACATCAAATCTGAGACCCTTCATTTGGTGGTGATTGTTAGAATACAATTAAGCAAAGACAACTAATTAAGGAATACCTATTGACCCAGTCATATTAACAAAAATGTTACACAAAACAAATTTTTTGATAACCAAAATTGCAAACAAATTAACTTAATAAAGATAATACAAGATTCAATATTTGAAGCGATGTTTAACACATCATTCAGAAAACCTAGAGTAGTATTTATTCCAGTGTACAAGACTTATTCCTATGAGTATTAAAATAATAACCAAAAGGAAGAAGAATTTTTAGACCTTATCTAGACATCATTGTATAATTTTATTTTGTGACTACACTTTTCACTGAATCAGTTTTGTATGAAAATCATTAGTTCATTCAACACATGCTGTCAAAATAAAAGCACAACAAGAATAGCGATGAGCATCTTCTGCATTTCAAAATACCTAAGAAAAATCATCTCCAAGATGCCCAACCTACCTTTATTTCTTTTTCTTAACCGATCTAGAGTAATAACAAGAAATGTATTTTTCAGCCTCTCTTTTTCACTACAGAGCACAGGAAGCCTCACTAGAAGCTTTTCAGAATTCGAAAAAGAAAAGGTTGATATAACAATGTTCTAAATTTGAATAAGAGCCCGAAGATTTTGGAACTCAAAATTGAACACGTTTTATTAAAATTGTTTTCTGAGAAAATAAAAGCCATCTTATTTTCTTGCCTTTGTGGACAGCAGCCTTTAATCTAAGATTCCTCATTCCTATCTTGGTATGAGTTGTCTTTACAAAATACTGGTCTGCCAGTGCAGGATTTAGAAGCAGTATGGGTAATCGTAGAAAGAGCTAAGTAAATTGTTTTAAGAGAAAACATCAGCTAAAAGAACATCAACATTAAAGAAAAAGCCCTTCTGATTTTTAGTTCTCTAACTCGGTTAAAGTAGGAAACACAAGATTAAGAATAATACCTCTTTAAGATAGATATTTGAATTTTTTTTTTGGAGAAATATCTTAATGTAAAAGTTATCTTAAAGGAGTTCCATTAAATAACATTTTTATAAACAACAGAACTTGAATGAGTCATTATTATTTTTTAAATTTAGCAAGATGAAAAAGGAAGCTTTAAAATAAAATCTTTTCTAAAAGTAATTTGCATTTTACTTATTGGGATAGTAATTTAAAAAATAACTAATGTTATAATTTATAAAGGCAATAACTTGCCTGTTGTTTTAAAACCTTTTAACTGTGCTTTTGAACGAGAAGCTCTCATGGCAATCCTAGTTCTAGCATTTTCCAAAAAGTAGACACTAGAAGCCCCTCTTCTGAACATTAGAATAGGTAGTCTCATAAAGAGCTGGATGAAGACAGTTGAGTTAAAGATTAAGATAAGTCCTTATTTAATTTACAGCCCTTTTGATTGATCACAAAGCCTTGTAAAATAATGAGTGCGAGTTTTTTTTTTTTTAAAGCTGGTGGACTTTAATTTTCGCCTCTAGAAAATTGAAAGAATAAGTGTACAAGCACTAGATCTATATTTTTCTTTGGGTGAGAAAATCTATCTGTTGAACAGGATTTACAAAGAAAGTCCACTTACATTTTTTTCTGAAAGTTGTTTGTGAACGCCGAGACATAGTGCTGGTGTACAAGTACATATTAGCTCTTTCCTTGTCACCACCTAATACTGGCATTCTGTGAAGGAGCTAGTATGAAGGACATCCATAAGTAGAACAACTCAGTCATTTGTATATTTCATACAACTAACGTAGTTGTGGATAAAGAGACTGCATGCATACAAACTTACTCTTAGCCCTTGCATTGAAACTGGTAACTCTGCGTCTTGTCATAGAGCTTTGGTACAGATATTTAGATGCTATATCAATATCCAGTCCAAGAATAGGTAACCGCTGAACCAACTGACATTACAAAGACGAATATTTAATAACAGTTAAGAAAAGAGAGCCCACAGATTTTTTAGCTGATGAGTTTGCCATTATCCATGAAAAGCTTAAAACTTACTGCTAACTTTGAGACGGTGCTTGTAAACACTTCTTCTTGTAACAGCAGTCTTGTACAGATAGGCTGCTGCTTGTATTTTAACTTTTGCAAGCATAGGCATTCGAAACAACAGCTGGGTTATGTGATAGGGAGAGAGAAATAGTGACCAGAAGTAGAAAAACAAGACCATTACAAGAGAAATTAACAAATTAGTTCCCTTTTGATTTTTTTAAAAAAGCTATAGTGTTCAGCCCTACTTTAAAAAAATAAAGGGGGGGGGGGAGAAAATTGAACAAAAGTAGGCACTTTCACAAACCATTTACGAAAAAAAAAATGTGATTACTGCATTAGACTTACTAGATTGTTTTTGACGATGTGTTTGTGAGGTTTTTCGAGTCATGTAGCTTCTATACAAGTATTCAGTGGTTCTAACCATGTCATTTCTCATTAAAGGCATTCTAGCAATCAACTGTGGTTTTTTATG